AATTCGCCCCATCGTCCATCCAGGGATAATAAACCTAGTACCATTTTATAGCAACCAGCATTGTTCATTGGTCTGAATGTCCCTACCGTGGAAATGTGGTATGGGGGTGCACTTATTTTACCACTGGTCCTTATCTGCCAGTGGAAAAGAATACCACCCCATTGCTCATTGGAGCAAGGAAAAGCTTTTAATTCGTTTAACCCTTTTCCACGAGTACATCGGAGCCACGCCAGGGCTGTGCCAAGCGAAGCCATAGCAAGTCAGGAGGTGGCAGGTCATTTTTCGACTGCAGAAGCAGGACCATGATGCTGACGTCACACGCAATGTGCGATACCGAGTTGCGCAGTGACAGGTCATTGATGCGTTGTTAGCCCTGGCCCTGCTGGGCCGCAAGGTGGATTCAGATGTTTGGTGAGACACATTTTGCCAATTTGGTCACAGCTCTGCATAGAAAAAAAACAATGAATGTGCCAGTGTTAAACGGGTATTTAAGTGATAAGACTACACTATATCCAATCCCAAACACATGATAAAGGTATCAAACAGCTGTTTCTTCAAGTTAATCTCTCTTGTGGAATATCTATGTTACTCAATCGTCAAGCATAACTCAACTTGCATACTAAAAGGCGTCAGCAGTGTATTTACTTTGAAAGTATGATGGTGGTGTAGGGTGGTATAAATACTTAAAATAAAAGTTATTCATTTGCTGGTGCAGACAGGTCCTACGACTGCAACTATATAACACATCAATATTTCAAGCATCTTCTACTGAAAATAATCCCCTCAGAAACTGAATAAACTCCATAGTTGTGGTAATCATATTCCTATAAAAAAATACCACTGGATATTTACTTCGTTAAATAGAACGCTGTGTAGATAATTTTTTTACCAGAGGTAAGGCCAACTGAGATTATTAGCTTTTTTTCAGAAACGACCTGGTTACAAATGATGGCTCAATGAAGTGCCTTATTACGTGAAAATGTATAGTAGCCAAATACTCTAAACGCACGCGTCAAGGTTCGGGATCGAACCCACGACCTCCTATATACAAGGAGAGGGAGTTAACATCTTGCCACCGTGGCGCCCACCATATAAATAATTTACAAAATGCAACCACATCTCCAGACACCCCACAGGAGTGGGAACTGAAGCGATCGGAAAAAAAAATACCGTATTCCAGGATATGAGAGGCTACTGCAGGAGATATATGATGAAGAGAGGAGTGTTCTTTCATTGAACTTGCAGATTTTTATTTTCTTTGGGCACTCCAGTTTTCTCCCACACTCTGAAATGCCTAAAATAAGCTGAACATCCCGAGATGAACCCTCGTGACAAAGAGTCTTGGGATTAAGTGACTACTTCCAAAGTAAATACGGGACATTACGTATTACTAAGTAAACGCATAACACTACAATCCTTGACACTTTGGACAGATAAATCATAAGAGATACTTGGTCATCATCAATCATGATCTACCCACCACTGCTGGACTAAAGCTTTCCCAGGCAATCACCATCTCTCACAGTCTTGCAATAGAACAATCCATCTAACACCTCCACATGAGCTGATTTTATCACTCCATCTCCATAATGAACAGCCTCTTGGTCACGTTCCCTCCTTTAGTTGCAACTTCCTCAGGAATCTCAACCTCCAAGCCCACTTGCTTTTCTGAACAGTTGATAATATATCCCTAACTTGGGTATGTTCTCTAATCCATACATTATGTTGCCTACCTCTCAGTGTCATTTGAAACATGCACTGCTCAATTCTTCTACTTTTTCCCATTATCATTGTCAATGTTCATCTTTCTGACCCGAGTGTCATAGTTGGTAATATACACAGATCTAGAACGTTCTTTTTAAATACACAAATTGGGGAGTCCCTTCATCCAGGAGTGTATTGATCATGGCTAATGATGAAAACATCATACATTTAGCACAATACTTTACATAAACACACAAACATGAATAAAAAATCGACATATGTATAATCCTCTAAATATTAATACGATGAATTGCTATCAATGCTATGTGGAACGTATTCAGTATTTTGTCAGAAGTTCTCAACCTGTGAGGGGTACCCCCCCCGCCACCCAAGATTTTCAGAGGAGGTGCAGACTGCAGAATGGATACCGTACAGGATGATCAACTAATATTGGGCTCAGTAGCGTCCTATATTCTTTCTCATGGTGTGTCATTACACTGCATCCAACAATCGATCAAGAATGAGCATCATGTGGGGGTTATCTGAGAGACATGCCAACACGTGTAGTTCTGGTCAATCCGCATCCAGTGCCGCCATTCTGTAATATGATTTCTAGATTTTTGAATAACGCCCGCAGCACCTGCCATCGTTTAAGTTGTAACCTATGTTTTTTGGCTCTGAGACAAAACTGCCTCCGGGAAATAACTGGCAGATTTTCCTCCTCATAACAGTTATCAGCTAGAGTACTTTCCAACAATGATTGGGTAATTTCTTTTAAGCTAGTGCAGTGCATATTGTGGGCTGTTTTTGATTGTGAATGATAAGTGGGCTTGGTGAGACCACGTCATTGATAGCAGAAATGATGGTTAGCGGTCTAGGCTATGAACTATTTTTTATTTACCAGGTAAGGCCCACTGAGCTATTTAGCTTTTTTTCAGAAGCGACCTGGCCGCAAATTATATCTCAACGAACTGGCTTATCATGTGGAAATTTACAGCATCCACATTCTCTAAATTCACGTTTCTAATTGGAGGGGAAAAAACGGAGGACCGGGAGAAAAATCCAAGCGACCACAGGGAGATAGACATGCAAGCTCCAAATATACAAGCGTCAGGGTCTGGATCGAATCTCCTGTATACCAGGTGAGGGAGTTTACATCTCGCCACCATGGCACCCCCATAGAGTAGCGGCCAAAAGCATTGAGCACACCCGAAATGGAGATCATTCTTCTTCTTAGTGTGTGATCGATACGTTCGACCAACTCATGCACGCCTACAGAGATATATCAGTGCCATGCGTGGCGCTGAGGGGCAGTGGTCTTGATTGGAGGGGGCTATCATAGTTACCAAAGTGTAGGTACCAGAGATGAATAGTTTAACAGAAAAAAAACTCTTAAAAACCTCGAGAAAGACGCAACGTAGAATAAATCTCAAGTCGTCTTGTGCGACTGTGGGCATCCACAACAGACCGTAACAACACATAATGACCCAATGATGCCCCGATCAACAAATACGAAGTAGGCATTGCAGCGATACAACTCCAGCTACCCCTGACGTGGTTATCTATTGGATTGACCACCTGAATGTGACATTGTTAGTTGCTGTTCTGCCATATATCAGCTATATACGACAGAAAAAAAAGGTACCATTATATTACCTCGACCAGTGGTTCTTAACCTGGGGGTGCGAGATGCCCTTTCTGGGGATGCGAGACATGCCAGATTGTTTTAGAAGGTAAAATCATCAAAACACAAATTAAGCGCAGACACGTAAGCGCACCAAATGTTTCATCAAACCTGTTTTTATTAACATTATACATTTCTTGTCAACGAATGAGATCCAAAGGCATACCTGTCAACCCCTTATCAATGCCTACCTTATTACAGACCAATTCAGACATTATTGATCACCCTGTGCCCTTAAAAATCTCAACGTTCATCCGACAAAGTCCCATCACAAGGGAGAAACACAAACAAATAGATAAAAAAAGCGTCTGCCCATATTATAAACGGCTGTACGCCGTATGGACCTGAACACTCAATTCCCCTGCACAAGAATACGGGGTTAAACCGTACGTGTTGACATATATGCAAAGGGCCCCGCAGGGCTGCAAGTAAATGGTTTTAAGAAGCACTGTCCTCGGTCACAAGGGGCATCCAGGACACGCGGTCCGCACGCCGGATTGGCCAGCGGCACAGCCATCAAACTTCGTTCTTCTCTCGTATGACGACGGCCCCTGACGATGTAAGACGGCAGAGCACCAACTAAACACATTCCTGCGGGGGGAGCTGGTAGGAACGTTGGGTTGCTCGGTCAAGGCCAGGGTCAACGGCGGCGTGGTGCATTCCGCAAATATGCCCGACTGTGAGGGCGGGCACAAGCCGACGTGAGTAGGTGAAACTTTGAGTTTAATAAGTGCACCACGGGGTGACCAGCCCCTCCCCACCCGGCCTCACCCTCCCAACCCGGCCCCACCCTCCCCACCCGGCCTCACCCTCCCAACATAGCCTCACCCTCCCCACCCGGCCTCACCCTCCCCACCCAGCCCGACGGACGGACACAATAATCCCCTGTGGGCTGGTGTAACCAGGAGGTTCCTACCAGTACAATGTCTCGTGCAGGTGGTTCAAGCCAGCGGATAACCGCGTCGGGAGTAGTTTGCTGGGTGGCCTCCTCCGCATTTGTGGACGGGGCCATCATAATTGGCGTCGTTGTATGTTATGGGGTAGTGATCGGGGCAGTCTCTTTCGTTACGGCTGATGCAGATGCATAGAGCATCAGCTAAACATGCCAAGTGCAGGTGGTGTGTCAAGCCAGCAGATCAAGGGGCTAGTGGCTGGAGTGTCAATCTCTGCCATGTCTCATTCGTATTTGTGGACCGGGCGGGCCATCATCATCATCATTGGCGTCGTGATTAGGCGGCACGGCGTCGTCAGGGTCTGTTGCAGTGGATGTCGGCTTGGGGGTGGAGGAGGGAAACCCGTGAGCGTCGTGGTGGCCGGTGGCAGATCAAAATCGTTCGCAGTTTCCGCGTCTAAATGCGCGCTGCGATGATCCAAACGGAGGCGAAGTTGGCGTCTTTATTTAGAGTCGCCTCTCAACAAAAGCCACCACCACCACGTTCACTCAACTCCCGGTGTCTCTCTCTCTCGCTTCGCCACAGAACAAATCGCCAGCACGTCGGGTAACACCGAATGAGGACGGCACACGGTGAAGCGAACACCCTGAAGGACAACAACAACAACGACGACAACAACAACAACAATTCGGGCGAAGTTTTTCGTTTGCGCCACTCACCAACTCATGGCTGTCGCCCGCTGAGGTGAACCTGTCCACGAGCGAGTGGGAGAGTGGGACGGGGGAATTCGCGGCGTTTGTTGTTGTTGGTTTACGTACGGGGTTTCAGAACAAACAAACAAAAGCGGCCTAACACCGAGTCGCCGACACGACGACTCAGGCGGCCGCAGTCTTCTGCTTCCTCACACAACACAATGAAGAGGGGGGGGGGGGCCGGTGGAACTCGATTGGGGGACTCGAGGATTCGCACGCGCGGGCGCGACAAGCCGCGCGTTCGTTGCCGTGCAGATTCGTGATTCTTGGTGTTGGGTGGGTTCATCTTCTTGGTTCTTTCGGTAAAGTCACGTAGACGGGAAATAATAAAATAATAAAAATAAAACATAATAAAACAATTCTCACGACGTTTCGGCCACAACGCAAGCAGTCGTCCTCAGGCGAAGAATGAAGCACCACCAAGCTTGGAGCGTATATTTAAGCTGGGCTAGAGAGGGGGGAGGTGGGAAGAAGAGCGCCTAAACAAAATAATTTGCATATCAAGAGGAATTCAGCATATGGAAAATGCGTAGGGGGTGGGCGGGTGGGGGGGTTCCAAATCAATACTATGCCCGTGCATTATGCAGGATTAGCAGCATCAAGGGGGGGGGAGGGGGTAGCATTAACAAAGGAAAGGAATGTTAATAGTATGTAGCTGCAGTTACTAAACAACCACGTAAAAAACTAAAGTATAAACTGCATAACAAACTAAAGTATAAACTACATAGCATCATCAGTATACTTATTATACTCTACAATAAGTTGAGTTACTAACAGTAAGTAATACATAAAAAATGTTCTACGTTGTAAAAAATTATATAATATGCTTCCATCTAAACTTTATTCTCTTACATCACACGCGTCTATACCGTACTATATACTGCCATAGGCAAACCCAACATTAAATTACATACTGTATTGCTATAAACCACCCTATACCTTATACATTTTAATATAACACTATGTATTATTCTACCCACCCTAATGTGTATCAAAATGGTTTATTACGTCCTTCCAGTGATTGCTAAGCCAGAATCCATCTTCTCGGTTAAAATTGTCTCTGTGTTTGTATATGTGGATCGCCTCATGAACGAATCTCTCATGATAGCCAGATGGCTATCATGAGAGATTCGTTGGTGGGTTTTTTGTGGATTCTAGATTTGAAGCTTTCGTGATTGCAAGGATTCATATTTTTAGTTTTTTTCGGGAAAGTCACGTAGGGGAAATATATTTATTTTATTATTTTATTTTTATTTTACTTTTTTGTGGAGTTTGTGGCGTTTTTCTCTCTCTCACAACACACAGAATGGGTACTCATACTCTTAGGTTTTTTTCGGTAAAGTCACGTAGGTAAAAAGAAATAATAAAAATAATATTAATAATAATATAAATAAAATTATTATTAAAATTAGAAGAATGGGTTCTAGATTTGAAGCTTTCGTGACTGCAAGGATTCATACTCTTAGGTTTTTTTCGGTAAAATCACGTAGGTAAAATAATAATAAAATAAAAATAAATGAAAATTACTAAATTTATTGGAGCGTGTGACCCATATGTTCACCGCTATAGTAATTTTCCGAAACGTCTATTATGTTCATTTTATGGCAGTGTTATTGACGAATGTGCTGAATTCACAAGCATATGCTTAGTTCATAGGCCAGAGAGGAAACGGGTACCAGCTAGGGTAGAAAAAGGTGAAGTCGTGTCGATCTATGCGATCCTTTTTGCCAATACTGTATCAAGATTATAATCACTATGGGGACCTCATTTGCCAGTAAAAATATGATAATTGGTTCTTTACCCTTCTATCTGGCAACAAAAAAAAAAGGTGTCAGTTTTGTTGCCAGATAGAAGGGTAAAGAACCAATTATCAAGATTATAATCTTGCCATGAGTACATCTTTGTTTATACGACTCAGGAGAGGCATTATACTAGTAGAAACCACCTGGTTCCACCAGCCCACAGGGGATTATTGTGTCCGTCCGTCCGTCGTGAAGGGAGGGGCTGGGTGGGGAGGGGAGGGTGGGGAGGGGCTTGGTGGGTAGGGTGGGGCTGGGTGGGGAGGCGAGGTTTGGGAGGGGCTGGGTGGGGAGGTTGGGGAGGGGCTGAGTGGGGAGGGTGGGGAGGGGCTGGGTGGGGGGTGGGAGAGGTGGGGACTGGGTGGGGAGGGGCTGGTCACCCCGTGGTGCCCTTATAAAACTCAACTTTTAACCTACTCACGCCGGCTTGTGCCCGCCCTCACAGTTGGGCATATTTGTGGAATACACCACGCCGCCGTTGACCCTGGCCATTGACCGAGCAACCCAACGTTCCTACCAGCTCCCTCCGCAGGAATGTGTTTTGTTCACCCCCACTCATTTCAAATTGCACGGTTGGCTACGTACGGTGCGAAAAAGGTTCGAACATACATAATTAAATCGCTTATTGGCCATATAAAGAAGTTGGAACCAATAAAAACTCTGCATGCCACACGTGTCCAACATCTGGTCTAAACTCATGGACTGACTGGACTAAGACGCGTGATTGCATACGCTTCTCAAACACGTGTGTAAGATGACATCAATGGTTATATTTGGCAGCGTCTGGTGGTTATAGGTTGTCATTCCTCTCGTGATTACCCGGATTATTAGACGCTCCGGAAAGGAAGACGCACCGAAAAACGTGTGGCCGGGTGTCAATACAAAGTGACGTTGGGTGACACGCATGGACGCACGCGTGCCGGATTATAAGATGCAACCACAACTCTTGCTTTCAAATGCAGGTGGAAAGTTCAAAGTATACTCCGGAAAACCACGAGTTACTTATAATTGCAGAATTATAAATAACACAGTACAAATAATGAGCTTGTATATTGGAAGCGTCTGACTTAAGTGGACATTATTGTGCCATCATATTCACGGTTAACGAGTCAGTAAATCAGATCCATGTGTTTGGGTGTAGTTGGGAGATGTATGCAGCATATTAATTTTAAGGATTCCAGCGTAATTTATAATAATAATAATTAGTCTTATCGTCTTGTAATTGCCACATTCATTCACATATGCTATATTCCATACACTAGCACTAATGACATGTACAATTGTTAACAGATTAACGTTCGATATGCATTCCTATTAACCCATCCGGTTTACCCGTATTCTTGTACAGCGAAATTGAGTAAAAAAGTATATTTTTGGTGTTTCTCCCTTGTCACGTGACTTTGTGGGATGAACGTTGATATGTATAAGGGCACGGGGTGACCAATAAGGTCTGATTTGGTCTGTAATAAGGTAGACACCGATAAGGGGTTGACAGGTATGGATATACATATACACCGTACACACTAAAACAAATATGAGGAGGAGTGCAGCCATGCAATCACTCGCTTACGCCGTTGCTGGTTGCGAAAACACTGCCCGGACGTAGGTGGGTGCACCCACACATCATTCCAGCACATGCGGCGCGCTTTGCTGATGGACTAACTGGTTCCCCCATTGACACTGTCGGGTGGACAGAGCTGGAGTGAAAGTAATTTAAAAAGCTCTTGTTGCAACTTCCGCGCCGAGAGATTGAACCGACGACCTCTGGATTGCAACTCCGGTGTGGTTGGGAACCGTCGAACGATGGCTAGATGCTTTTACAGTGTACACATTTGATGGGAGAGAAACCTTACCTAAGCCCTTGCCTGATCACGTGGTTGTTGACTCAATTTTTTTTTACCAGGTAAGGCCCACTCAACTATATTGTACATCTGCGATCTGGCCACAAATGACAGCTCAACAAAGTGGCTTATTATGTGGAAATGTATAGCAGCCAAATTCTCTAAACGCGTGTTTCTAGATGTGTAGGGAAAAACCTGAGGACCCGGAGAATAATGTACATGACCACGGGAGCATGCCAACTCCAAATATACGGGCGTCTGGGTCGGGATTGAACCCACGCCTCCTGTATACCAGGCAAGGTCGTTAACATCTCACCACCAAAGCACCCTCATGATCTTTGTGAACAATGATTCTGTTTCTCATGGTCTTGTGAATAATTTATATAAATTTCAGAAATGGATTGACCATGGCTGTTCACAGACTTTGACTTGGATGGTATTTTCAAAGTATGGGCTGTTTTGGAGCCTAGAGAACCGATGCAATCCACACAATGCCAGGACACTGGCGCTATGTACTTTGCAATTCCACACGGTGTCTGTTTGCTCTCTGAGGCTCTGCTGTGATAATTCAATTTACAAAGAACATTTTCTAAAAGTAATTAATGTGCAATTCATTATGAATTGCATTTTTCAAGCACCGTGCCATGAAATTGTAAAATAGTTGCAGATTGAGCTGAATAGTGCCATTGTATGTACGATGGGTGTTAGGGCATGCTGCACACACGCACATTGATGCCACATCTCAGTTTTATTGACATATGACGATATGTTGACTCACTTGCCTTGTATACAGGATGTTGTGGATTCTATCCCGACCCTGACGCCTGTATATTTAAAGTTTGCATGTTCTCACTGTGGTCACGTGGATTTTTTTCCGGGTCCTCCGGTTTTTCCCTCCACATTTAGAATCAGCATGTGTTTACAGTATTTGGTTGCTATAAAATGTCCACGTGATAAGCCACTTTGTTGAGCTATCATTTGTGCCGAGCCGCTTCTGCAATAAAACGATATTGTTCAGTGGGCCTTATCTGGTCAAATAAAAAATATTTCATTGTAGTACAGTATTTTAGTTTCATATAATGTGCCAATGTAACTATGAACACTGGCAGTATACTAAATACAGTAGAATGACGGCTCAAATATGTGGTGTTCAGATATATACTTGATAAACGCAGTGCCTATGAAACTCGCTAAGATGTGAAATGCCTCATTGCTCTCAGCAAAAGCTTATTACAGTATATTTCATTATAACAGTAACCACTGCTCGAGAAACTTGCGAGCGCATTTATTCGGTGCAGTGTGTGTAGCCATAGGATACTGAACAAAATGTGCTCATTTAAATCTTGGGGTGTCATTTTAATTTTGAATCCATTATAGGGCAATTTTTACAGCCATGAGTCCCTGATGTGCAACAGAATGGAGTGCAAGTGTTTATTATACACATGCAATTCCTTATATATTAACACTTATACAAATCTCGAGTGTTGGGCTCTACAAACTTGGAGAATTGTTATTAA